ACTTCCATAAATACACTGATTATGATAGTTCGGCCTATCTATGGTCTGGCCATTTGCAATCGAAAGGCATTGTGCACGTGATCACGTGACGTGCACGTGACAATCACGTGACCATTATGGGGCCCGCTGATACACCGCTCATTCGCAAATCGTGCAAGCCAGCATCCGCCAGGCTGTTCGGCCCGGTTCGTTTGCAAACTGGACCGCTGGCTGCAGCTTTGACATTGCCCTAACCAATATAGTTTCTGCATTTGCACGTAATTTGCCGTTCTTTGTGTTCTCCAGAGTACCCTAGTGGTACCAGTTTATTGCTTTCGTCAGAAGTAATCGTGCTTCATCTAACTTTTTACTACTAGTTTCATCTCATGTGTTTTTACTATATTACACTGTAGAGGGCGGTATCCAGACACATCCATCCGTCCTTGAATCATAGCTGCAGTAGCTGCAAAACTTGGTGGATGGGTGGCTGGGTGGGTGTGAGTGGCGATCGTTCATTGACCGTTGTCTGAAGTGATATGATGAAACCGCTTTCTTTTGGTTTATTTTACTTGTAATACATCCATGTGAGAGTCATCAGATAACCGTCGTACTTTCTGGAAACATCTGATAAGAAACCGTTTTTTTCTAGGGTTCTTGCCCAGTTTATTTTCAGATATATCGAGTTTTTCATTGGTTTCTGTCTTACTGTACGCACAATGTCCAATTTTCATCCAAAAAAGGTACTAAGAGTATGGTGTACGTTTATCTATAAACTGTACCAGACAATCTGTAACCAGTAAACAATGTGTACGCAGACGCTCCTAGTAAAGTGTAAATTGTTGACCTCATCGTGCAAATTCTCTCGGTCAGTGTAATGGTGAAAGAACAACGTTCTTTGTCAAGAGTGCAGCCGTTCCACGTGGTACCCCTCGATTTTAATGGCACCTCAGTCAAGACAACTGATTCACCAGTTTTCCTCTAGTCACTCAAGTAGTATCCAAATGTTCTGATCGTGATTTGCCGTTTTCTATCATTTTTGCTCGAAATTTTCAACGATTTTGTTTTTGTTGGTTGGTTACTAACCTCGGAAATTCTTAGAAAGTAATCAGAAGTATACAACAATCATGGAGATCGCTTCAACATCTACCAGTGATGCGGCGGATGTACTAAAGAAATGTCTGGCAGGAGGAACTGCTGCTGCATTCAGCAGAACCACTACTGCTCCAATTGATCGCGTGAAACTTCTCCTTCAGGTACATCTACTAAATCCTTCTTGTTTACGTGGTCTCGGAGTGATTTGTTTACTTCTGATTTATTACCAACTGAAACTTTCGATCTTATAGTGAAGCCTGAGATACCTCTGAAATAAGTAGTAAGGGACCCCAATTTCGGCTACCGGCCACGGCCCTGTCCAAGTTTCCTGTTTGTTTTCGGTGCGACCCATGAAGGGGACCGTAGCAATCCCGCGGCCCACATACCCTCCGCTGTATTCAATCGATTTGGGGACAGCAACGGCTTGGTGCAGAAATAAGGGCCATCTGGGCAGATCGCTGGGCGTCCAACGATTGCACCCAGCTGGCCGCCATCACCCAGAGAACTAGGGCCCAGTGGAGTCCTACAATCGTGAACTGAACCACATCGAAACATCGAATATTTGGTGATATTTTGGACATACGAATGAACTTGAGGAAACCTGTCCAAGCGGCCGCATCCAATCAATTTCGTAATGGGCCTCCGAAACTGACCACCAACCTTCTTATCTAATCCAACAATAAATGCAATATCATGTCCTTTGGACCTTTCCCGTTGTACTTTGTCCTTCAGTACTAACTGCTCTTTTTGGCCTATACGTGGATCATTTCACAGTTTAGCTACTTCTGTGGTATTACTCGTAAAAGAACCAGTCACGTTCGCACCTCTTTTTTCAAATCGCGCACGGTAGCTGGTTTCAATCCCCAAATAATTTGTCAAATTCACAGCTTTTTACTTTGGTTAGAAACTGTTACTGTAGGTTAGAATACGTGCAGAAGCGGAAAATTTTCTTTTTAGCTCGAAAGCCATGGGCGAACGATGAGTCACCCATACAATGGAATGCGGGATTGCCTCCGACGGGTATCTAGGGAACAGGTACGAAAATCGAAACGAAATTATTTCTTTGAATAAATCGATGTCATTTCAAGGGTGTCCTATCGTTATGGAGAGGAAACTGCGCGGGTGTCATGAGATGCTTCCCAAATCACGCGCTAAATTTCGCTCTGAGAGATTTTTATCGAAGTTTGCTATTGAAAGGTGTGGACCGCCAACGACAATTTCGACGTTTTGTAGCAGGTTCGAAAAATTTCGATCATTTTTTACTGTGCCTTTGAAAACTGAAATGGAATATGGAGAACTCGGAGCAAAATTTTGTTTTTGAAATGTGCTCTACACTCAAGACCTTCAAAGAATCGTAGGATATGGAGCTAAAAATTACATAGCCCCAGTAGGACTCCATTCAGACTGGAGTTGAACTTTTTATCTGCGCCAGGGACGCCAGAAGGCAATGCACTTGGCTATAGTGTAGCCGTACGAACTGCTAGGCGAAGGATTCCTGCTGACTGGCGCGTATTTCGTCATGAATCGGCATTGATTCCCGCATGGGACCATTTCAGCATTCCAGCAGATTTATTGAATGGCATGCCTTCCGAAAAACTCGTCCGTTAGTTGAATTAGCTGCCTAAATAACCGACGTTGTTGGGAAACTGTAATACCGAAGCTATTGGTAATTGTTCAGCTGTGACTATGGGGAATGCTGCTGCAAAAGTCTTTTTTGCTTCCTTGCAACTTGGTGCAAGACTGAGGAAAATGCTCATTATATAGGAAGTTCGCTCTGCTGCTGCATGGGACCGTGAATTTTGCGATTAGTACACAAAATTTAGAAGCTGAAAGGGTTTCTCATGCACGAAACTTGTTTGTAACTAAGTTTTTGTTTTAATTCAGGAACCGTAGCATGTGGAGGGTTAGGTGGCGCTACCGCTCTATTGTTACTGTACCCATTCGACCTTGCACGTACACGAGTAGCTGTTGATGTGAATTTGGATGGCTCAAGAAAATTCAAAGGCATGATGAACTGTCTGGCAACGATTCGAAGACGTGAGGGCTGGCTAGGTTGGTACAGGTGGGCGTGGCTGTGTTTTGTCGCAATTCCCACATATTTTCGTTTAGATGAGTAATCACCTGTTTTCATTTAACACATACTGATACTACGTGACATTTGTGGTTTACAGGGGCTTCAGTGCTTCCGTGCAATTTGTCATCGTCTCGCGTGCTGCGTTTTTTGGTGTTTTTGACGTGATTCGCACAAGTGTCCCGGATCCGAAACAATTGCATTTTTCCACGACATGGCTTCTGGCTCAGGTATTGTTCATTTGGAAGATTTGATGGATTATTTGATGATGAATTCCCATTGAAACTTATCAGCTATTAAAGTTAAGTTACAAGACGAGCATTGGTTTGGGGCCGTAGGTCCAATTGATTGTAGTAATCGCAAAAAATCGGGAGGAATCGCCGAAACCCATGAATTATAGCCATAGTCCTCAATATGAGTTCTGAGTTTGTGCCCGTTTACCCCACTTAGATTTCTAAAGCGTAGACACAGCGACGGCATAGCGTATAGCGCAAGAGAACGCAGACGACAGGAGAAACATATCCGGCGCGTGCCCGATTGGCGCGTCCATTTGGAGGCGGAGAACGACCAAAGGCGTAGTAAAACGTTTCTGGGGCATATTTGTGCACCTTCTAGGGAGGTTAGGGTTGAATTATCCCTAATAGTTCCTTTCTTCTCTTTCCACTATTCGCATATTTCCTTTAAGTGCAGCAAAAGTATCGCCCGACCATTGATCCTTTAATGGTAGTGTCCACCGACGTCAGAGCAGCGAAGGAATTGGCAGCCCTTGGAACTCCATGTTAGTTTATGGGTACCTTGAAGAAGACATTCTGCGTTACACTACAGATTCGCACCCTACGCAGATTAGAAATGCGCCAGGCTCTTTCCCTTGTGTTTTTATTGAACGGCACTGGTTGTAATAATCACATTATACACACGGCGTTTGTGATTGTAGTAACATGGCCTTCTCTTTCATGAACGTAGAAAACCTTGCTGCAAATGCAGACCCTTCTCTTTTGCAATATTTTTCTGGGGACATTTATTTCGCTGAATGATTAATCCCAACAGGATTTCCGGCTGGGATCTCCATTTGCTTTTTCTACACATGTGTAATGTCATCCAGGAGGAATTCCATGACGTTGGTCGTTTTTACTAAACAGTTTAAGCTTGGTAAACTTCTGGTAACGGGCTAAAGTATTATGGGCGACCTACTACTGCCTGTATCGCTAGACCATGCCCACCTTGAAAGGTGGCTTTGAACTCCATGTTGGAATTCACGGGTCTTTGAATTGTTTATGGCATTTATCTTTCCAAAAAATCAATAATCTCTTTATGCACAAACTTCAATTTTGTAGCGGCAGTAAGTAATTTATGTAACTGACCCTTTACTGCTATAGGTTTGCCTGGTTTGTTCGGGCCTGCTGTGCTATCCGCTGGACACGGTTAGACGGCAGATGATGATGCAGGCAGGGAAGCGTCAGAAGAAGTTCAGCAATTCATGGAGTTGCTGGATTCACATCGCGAGGTTAGAGAGTGATCTCATTTTTTACTAGTTAAACCGGATAGGGCTAAGTTGGGTTTTGAAGCGGTGATAAGTCTGCTCTCTGACGTAACAGCAGTACACAACCCATTGCAATGGCGCCGAGTGAAACCGGTTGAATGTCATATTGAGTTTCTCCCTGTCGTTCAAAAAGATCCCAATGATTTCCTATTAGCTGTATGTCTTGCGTCATAACATTTTTTTTCAACTATATCATGTGCCTTACAAAAAATCTGAGCGTCCTGGAATAAGAGCGTGGGCAGTGGAGAGCTCTTTCATTCCCAAAACAAGTTCCCATCCAGCTGACGACCCCAAGGGTTATACAACTGGTTTGTCTGGGGGTTTGACTCATGATCCATGGAGCAGTTTACTCTGAGTCTCTGGATGAGTTCCACTAGAATATCAGTGATTAGTTTGTTGGAAGCAGTTGCTGTATAGACTATTAGTGAACTTTTCGTCGCCCCTCAGTTCAGATTTTGATGGAAAGTGGTCCGGATGGTTTATATATGTTGGCGTTCCTTCCTGGCCATGATTTCCAACAATTAGAAATAGCGTAATTATAAAAGATGAGTGGTTGAAGTTATTCCATTACTAAGAGTACGCCACGAACTTTTATTCCCTCGGAGGCAGTTCAGGTCGAGACCAGTCGGCTGCAGTCAGTCCCAGTGCTTTTATCCTCTCTGACATGCCCAATGAACAAATTGTCCCCTTGAGAAAGTGTCCCATTCAAATCAATCGCTTCGTCGTTTTAATAATAACTTTTCAAATTTCTGAGCGTAAATCTCCTTTTTTCAGAACCAAAGGTTATCGAGGCTTCTATCGCGGTGCATTAACGAACTCATTCCGTTCAACTGGTGGTGCTCTAATCCTTACGTTTTATTATGAATTTACGAAATATATGTAGTGCAACTTGTAAATAACTTATGTCTGTGATTGATTTACTTGTTAAATACTTGTCGAAGTAAAGATTTGATCTTAATTTTGAGTACAAAGTGTTTGTTTGAAAGATGATACCCACGAAGTTCCCTCACTTGGCTAAGGGCCCGTTTGAAGAGCGGAAGGTCTCTCTATTCCGGCTCCCGTCCAGACCCACAAGTTCGAACCAATGGACTTATGGTATTTCATATGGTTAAATAATTGAAATAAATTACGGCACACGGACACAAACTTTGGGTCCCGTTTACTTGTTTGTTTACAAGTCTAACCAAAACGTCTCAGGGATGAGCCTTTTACAAAGAGTGACCATTTCTTGTCAAATCATCGATAAGCAAAGGACAACAAAAACTCATAGTGGAAGTTTTTATGAAGGGAGCTATAGCCCAATAGGTCTACCAATGAATTACAGAAACAAACCGTGAAATCGGTTCGAAGGCGCTGTGGTTACAATTGTTTGCTTAGCCTTTACAGACCTTTTTGGATTTCTTCAGCTGCCATTTCATGTTTCGATAGTATGTTATCATTCAATGTGCCAATCATTAACAGGTCGATCTCTTAATATGCGACTACATCCTCGTTCAGCTGTCTGACCGAAATAGTGCATAATTTTCTCAAGAACGGTCCAGTTACACATATACTGGAAGGCGATCCTGGCAAAAAGTATTCCACTCCCCGTGATATA